ATGAAATGAAGGATTACCAACACCGAGAGACAGAGGGAGGGCGAACCACCAGATAGAGCACCGACCAGACCACCCCAACAAATCATTTATAAACATAATTGCTGCAGTCACTCGAGCACCAGACTTCGGGAGATAAAAGAAAAATTGAAAAACAACGGCAAACAAAGAGACACCGCGGGCCATTGATGTGAATGAAATAGAGGAGAGTTTGAAATTAGTTGAGTCTCCCGATTTGTTGGAGTCTATGCTTGTTATGCCCTTGCAGAGGGTATTTTCATTTCGTCAAGAAATATGTAACATTTAAAAGAAGACGTCTTCGTTTCCATCAAGTAAATATATTCTCGATCAGTCGAGTTGATATAGTGATGCCTGTCCATCTGTCTGTTTCTATGCAAGATAGTCTATCATTCTCTAAGCATGTATGCATGTATGTGCATGTGCATGTGCATGTGCATGTGCATGTGCATGTGCCTGTATGCATGTACGCATGCATGTACGCATGCATGTATGCATGTATTTATGTGTGCATTTATGCATGTATGTATGCATATATGTATGCATGTATGCATGAATGTATGCATGTATACATGTATGTATGTATATTTGCATGTTTATGAAATACAAACATGCATACATGTATGTACAAACAGGCATACATGTATGAACAAGCAGGCATACATGTATGCACAAACATATGTCGATTAGGGTATTCAATCTTCTGCGTGCCGCAACTCTCCTTTTTTTTAGTGGTTCAATCGAGCTGTTTGTGCTGCCTGCGGCTAGTTTTATGCATTTTCACCAAACAAATTGCTGTTAAAGAATTGATTTAACTACATTTTTAACACCTGCGGCACGCCCCCCAGCGAGCGCTTAATGACTCTCAACTATGGGAAAATTAATTTCCCAGCATTGGAGGTGGAACTGTCCCCCAAGAGTTCTGGACTTGACCACGAGCTGAACTAACTTTTCTATTTGTTTAGTTGTGTCGATTTTTAAAGGTAAATAAATAACATTTCGTTTGGGCCATAAATTAAATCGAAACAAACACAATGAGAACAACCACAAGCACATGGAGAGTGCTTGTAGGCCATTTATTGTAGACTGTGGTGGAAACTTAGATGATGAAGCCATTAGAGACAACAGGAGGGGGTGTCCGGAGAGGGGGCTAAGGGATAACTGAAACTGATGCCGAGCTCTGGCGAGCGGAGTCAACAGTCATGTAAGTGCAAATGGCCATTAAAAACAATTTAGGGTAGTTCTCGAATGGGAAATCCCAGGCGAAGCGTTTAGAAATATTGCAAATTACTGCAAATAATTGACAAACATTAAGAGCACTTTACGGGGGCGGGGTCTAGGTGTGTAGGGGGTGTGGAGGGGTGTGTACAGCTGGGCAGAAAAATCAAAAATAAATTTTATGCAATTGTCTGACAAATCAACGTAAAAGGCCAAAGTCACATAATGAAATGGCAAAAGAAAAGAGTCCAAGGAAAAGCTCTTTATGTAATGAAATTGAATTTGCCACATGAGGCAAGTACTAGAGCCAAGTGCTGCAGTTCCGCTCCAAGGGGTTGCAACTTGATTTATGAATGGCACTCGAGTGTCGTGAAAATGCTTTTCCCATTGATAGCTGCAATATATTAAACGCTGCACAAATTCAATTTTCGCAACTGTTGCCAAAAAAAATGAGAGAAAAGAATCAGCAAAATCGAAAACACAAATCAAAGTTTCGTTTTCTCTTTTTGGGGTGGCAAATTTGAACATTTGTTAAAGCGACTTATTAATGTCATAATCTAATTATAAGCAGAGGTTTAGCTCGACGATTTGGTAGCATATTTCGCTAAATGCGAGTTTAGCATTGATTATTTCCCTTTGTCTGGGTCTGGGTCTGGGTCTGGGTCTGGGCCGAGGGGTGCGGCGAGGGCGTTGCGACCATAAAAAATTATAGAGGGTGCAAAAAATATGAGCAATAATATTTTGGCTGTTTAATATATACTTACCCCAGTTTGTATTTTTTTTACTTTTTGTTTCGCCGGCAACAGCTGGAAGGCAACAAAGTAATGGATTAATAATAAGCTGAAGGAGTTATGGTATTGCCGAATAGGACCCGTACACTTAAAGCTTAAAGCGTTAGTTTAATGAAACAGCTGCTGAAAATAATTGGGAGGGTTTTGGAAGAATGCTCGAACAGAAGGTAATTTAGCCTAGCTTTGAAAAATACTCTAAATGCCATCAATATAAATATAAAAGTCTTGACTGACTGATAAGGACTAATAAAAAACAATATGAACAATAATGGAATACAATGACCATATTAGTGAATTAATGAATTTATGGATATTCACTTTAACCAAACACAAGCCAAAATTATTTCACTTTTCCGATAACTCGCACTGCGCTGCAGCATGTATTTTGACATATTGCTCTTCTATGCGATTCTCATGAATTCAAGTAAGGCTTACTATTTCTCAATCTTTGATTATAGGTATTATATTAAGGAGTTGACTGTCCAATTAACGTTTTCTGTGCTTCTTCCCTACTCCAAGTAACTTTTTCGCTTTCTCTCTCTTCTCTTTTACTCTTTCTCTCTCTCTCTCTTTCTCTCTCTCTCTCTCTCTCTCTCTTTATCTCCATCTCATTCTCTATCTCATCTTATCTCTATCTCTATCCCTATCTCCATCTCTATCTCTCTCTATGTGTGTCTATCCCTCTCTCTCTCTCCCTCTATCTCTATCTCCATCCCTAACTAACTGTCATTTTCTTTCAGGTATCTGGATATAAAAGAGGTTTTATCTCTACTACCAATAGATAAACTCTATGTCTGCATGAATGTACATTTATGGGTGAGTACATATTGACATATTGTTATAAATATTGTATATATCTAAACCATATATATATACGTTCAGGCATTGCAGACCGGGTTAGATACTAGTGTTTCAACATTTAAGCTAGTTATACATGTAAGCTAGTTATACCCCTTAATTTAGGTAACTCTAGAATCGCTTTGTCCTTTACAAATCCGGACCGTGTACACTTTACCGTGCAAACTGTTTCAATTAAGCACATCCTGTGGCCGTCTAACCACAGCAACGTTTACATCGTCTGCCCTCTGGCCTTTGGCCGGCGACATTCAAAGTGCTGTCCATGTAAGGACATGGCAGAGCATCCATTTCGTTCAGCTAATTAAGGCAACAAAGGTGAACTACGCTCGGTGCAGCTCAACCTCCAAACTGCAGCCGCAGCCGAGGCCTCAGCCCTGCCGCAGCTGTGCCTCAGCTCTGCCTCAGCCATAAGTCGGACGGCAACTCAATTAAAAATGCGGCAAGCTCGTAAACAAGCCACAAAAGCTTGAATGCCACACCGAAACTCATAATTTGCCGAGGTGCTAATAAGTTGCAGAAATAATTTTCAATGAAAATGTGCTTGCAACAAAATGTGGCAAAATTGTGGCAGAGCAGCCGATGCTGCTGCCTTCTTCTTCTTCTTCTTTATGTGCCACAAGCAGCCGCAAAGTAGAAAAAATTGACTTCAATTAAAGTGGCATAGTTGGCCGCATAAACAGCGAAATGAAAAGCACAAAACGAGTAGCACAGGGATAATGATAATTACGGACACATACAGCACAGCGGCGTAGATGATAGAGGGGGGTAGTGGAGGGTAGAGGCGGTGTGCAAATGAAACGCTGAAGTTGGCAGACGCAAAGCGAAAGAGACAGCTAGAGGGAGGAGGAGAGTGGAAGAGAGGCAGCTTCAAAAAGCATCCTTGCCGCTGAATGAGACTGCAAAGTTTTTGTGTTTATTTTATGCGCCAGCAAAAAAAAAAAGCTTTCGGAATAACTAAAAAAAAAAGTAGAAGCTGATGCAGCGCTTCCATGTGGGTTCTAGGGGGAAATGGATGCGGAAAGGAGGCGGCAACAACAAGTAGAGCACAACAACAACAACGGGCGAGTACGTTAAGCAAATAGGCAAAATGGCGAAATGAAATGTGCAGCAGGCAAATGAAGAAGCGAAAAATGTGGAGCACATGCACAGACAGAGACAGACATAATGGGAGAGTGAGAGTAAGAGAGATGGAGATGCAGATAGAGCTAGCGATAAAGAGGCAAACATGTAAGCAGGCGTCAATAGTCGTAACTCGTACGGTAAAGTCAGAATGCGCCGTTTGGTCAAATGAATGCATAGCGAATGGACTCAACGCGAGATTCGAAGTTGAATGGGCCGCTGGCTGACAGCTCTCGCCCCGCTCGGCTTCGCGCCCACTCAACTTGTTGACGAGTCCGCTCAACTACCCTTCAGTCAGTTCTGCAGTTACTCAGAATCAGAGTCCGCAGTAGTAGTCGCTGCTCGGAGTGCGACCCTTGAGCCGCCCATTTCCATTCATTTGCTGCCTGCCCAAAACAGAAGATTCCACGTACTTTTTTCAGTGTACATATTCGACGTAGTAAATTTTTTCTCATTTCGCTTTTTGTTGAGTGGTTTTGCTTCTTCTATTTTTCACCAGCCCCCCTTGTTCTAGCGCTTCGAGTGAGTCTCTCTCTGTGTGTGTGTGTGTGTAGGTTGGTTAGCGTTGTCTTCAGTTCTAGCTGTAACCGGCTACTATGTGTGCGAGTGTGTGTGTGTGTGTGTACTCAAAACAGAGACAAAATGAACTAGCGGTAAATACTGCGGCAGCGGCTGCCTTGCATGAACAACACCGGTGACGACGACCATTGACGTCGCCATCGCCGTCACAGTCACCGTCGCTGTCGCCGCTGCCATCGCTGCTGCCGCTGCCACTGCCGCTGCCCTAGTATGAAATTTGTATCTCTGCCAGTGCCGCTGCTGCACGCCGTCCCTCAGCTGTGTTGTTGCTATTGCTGGCTGTTGCTTTGCTTCTGCCTCTGCCTCTGCTTCTGCCGCTGCTGCTGCCACCACCTCTGTCTCTGCCTCTGGCTCTGTCACGCTCTCAGTCGTGCTCATTTTCCGTTGTATTTTTTCGAATGCATTTAGTTGTGGCCCATCATTCCCTCTGCGCACGTCGCGCTGATCGCTAGCAGTCGCTCCCGTTGCCCGGCATTCGATTTCGTGTTCGAATTTGATTCCGTTTCAGCTCGTCTCGTTTACGCTACGTTATTGAACACTTGAAGCACCGTTTTTTTTCGTTCTTTCTCTGTCGAAACAACGCAATAAGTTTCACTATATTACGAGCAGGCGTGTGTTTTTCAAAAACTGAAGCATATTGTGTGCGAGTTACGCGATATTGTGAAAAGGCAAAAACAACAACGATTTCAAAGACTTTGTTTATTTAAACTGTAAACAGAAGAGCGCGAAAATGGGTCGTCTGTTCCAATACAATCGCTTTGGCGCCACGGAAAGTGTTAATAAACGTAAAAAGGATACACAAAAGAAGGCACACGATAATGCAAAGATGGTAAGCGAGAATGGGATATAATTAAAGATTAAAAGACTATGAAATATGATAAAAGACAAAACATATTAGAGGCAGAGCATGAAATACAATATGAGATACGTGAGCTAAGATTAAAATAAAGGACTATGAAATAAGGGAATATCTAAAGGGATTATTGGAATAAATTCGGTAGATATTTTATGGATAAAATGGAATTAAGTTAAGCATAAAATGATAGACTATGAAAGGAGAGTGAAGACATTTTAGGAGTTTTAGGGGAACACAAGAGTATTAGGTGGGTCCTAAGTAAGTAAGAAAGGGAAAGTATATTAAATACTTTTAAGGGATTATAGTATCAATATCAGTCAGAAAGGCCAAAAGTAAGACTGTAATAGGGAAGATAATAATGTGATTGGAATCAGATAGATATAGCTTCAAACCTATTAAGATGCTTATTATTAATATTCCACTGCTCAAAAGTCTATATCAAAAACTTTAACAACACTTCTCACAACTTAGCTTGTAAAGCATATTTCATATGCAGCTGATGGGTAACAAAAAGACACCTTTCTGTATAGATAACACATAATTCCAAGACCTTTTCACATGCAAATTAATAGATCCCACAACTACCCACCCACAACACACATGAGTAATCTGCACAAATCCCACGTATCAAAAAAACAACACGCACCCAAACGTAAAGCCCCACACATCAAATGCCAACATACGGAATCGATGGACTGGGGGAAAATGGGGGAAATGGAGGATGAGGGAATTCAAAATACGAACGACAACAATTAAAATGATTTAGTGTCACAGATACGAGAGACAACAACAACAACAACAACAGCAAGAAGACATAATAAACCCAACTGTCGACGTAAATCAGACCAAACACTAAATCAGAAATAATCAAATAAATATGATTTGCATAAAAACAGAATCAAGCTGAAGGCTAATCGCTGAGACAACAAACAGAACCCGAACAGAAATCAGAAATTGGATGGGGGATCGATTAATAGAGAACTGCTCAGATTTGAGACAAATCGTATAAATCAAAGCGAAAATGCGACGAGGTTTTTTTCGGTTTTTTTCGTATCGATAAGGTCCGAGCAAACAGAACTCGAGCATGGCAAACATATGTTCGACTCATAAAGATAATGATTGATTGTGGACTCTAAATGTAAATGCATTCAGGCCTATTTGTACACATGTGTTATTTGTGTATACTATAAGTATATTCGTGTTTGATCTGCGATAAGCGCTAACTAGGCTTTATCTGGCCAAATGGCGACGTCTGGCTGGAATATTTACATGGCTATGAACAGAGCCGATGCCAAAGCTGATTAGTCAAATGCCTTAATTAAGCCGCGGCTACCTGTATTTTCTACCTTCCTCCCACCTCCCTTCACCCAGCAGCCAAGACTTCTCAGACAGCTCTATAGAGAAGAGTGCACATATCTCTAATCTCTCTTCTGGCCTGACTTTCAGTTGTTGACCGGAGTTGAAAACAAAAAAAAAAGAGGTTTGTAATTTCAAACTGAATGACAGTTTGCGTTTTGGCTTCTGCTGCCTCTTTTATCTGTACTCTCTGCTTTGCTGTGCATTTATCATCAGCATTTCCCTGCATTTCCATCATTATTGTGTTTTTCCCGCTGCTCTTGTCATTTTTCACGGGAATTGACACCCGTCTCTCTGGTCGGAGGCACGCCATCTCTTTATCTGAATGCCCATTGTGGGCTCTGGTTTTGTCTTCTCGTCTTGAGCTATGAAAATATTTTTGTAGTAGGTGTTATTTGAGCTCCTCCCAAAAGGATTGTCTCTCTGCGTGGGTGTGGCTTCTATTCGCACTCGCGCTGCGGGAATTCCGTTTACTGGAAGACGGCTCTAGGCAAGAAATATTTAACAAAACATTTGTTTTTTTTTTTCTCGAAAATAATGGATCACTTGAGTGCTGAGAGTGGCAAAAATAATTATAGGAAGTTCTAAGAAAGTCAAGACAAGAATTCAATTGATTTTGATGGGCACTTCTCGAATATCTATAGATTGAAAAATATATAAATAAAATAAAATACTTAAATATATATAAATAATATAATGTATATATATAGCACATCGAAAGATTGGCATTATATCTTTTATTTCTGTTCCATCTTGCAATACTCCATATCTTGCAGTTTTTGATCTCTTTTCTTGACATGCATGTAAGAACTTCAGATTATGTTTTGGCCTATTAACTGATTGATTTTAAAGATTATTAACTTAATCCCTTCAACAACTATCTCCATCTTTAATCAAAGTTTCTCAATGAATTTCTTAGTAAGAATTCATGATTTCTACTCGAGTCCTACTTTCTCTCTAACTTTTCTTATATTTTCATTTCATTTTTCTTCCGGCCTTCACACCAAATCGAACTCTATTTCTAGCTGCTTTACACGCAAGGCTTGCAACTTTTGGCTTATTACAAAATCCCTTCAGATCTATTTGGAATATGCCCAACCGCAATTTCGTATAAAGGCACGCCTATGCGGCATAAATCGTTCGGCACCTCAGGCCGTGATTTCCACATGCCACCAAATGTTGGCATCGGCGGCGTCGCCAACGCATCCGTTATCAGAGAACGCGCCGAAAAATGCCAGAGGAAAACATTTATTGGCAAGACAACTGGCAGGGGCAGTGGCAGGGGCAGAGAAGGGAACAGGGTCAGGGACGGGGACGGGGACGGAGATATTGAGAGGGTCTGTTTACAGTCGCTGACAAACGTTTTCAATTAGTTTTCGTCGAGTTTCACTTGAAGCAAAAAGGCGACGCGCATCGCGGGTCAAAACGATAAGGCAACAAACTGCAGACAAAGTGCACACACACAACACACACACACACACCACACACTCACACACACACCAGACAAAACTAATAAAGTTGTCATACAAAATGTTGGCAACAGCGAACCCAAAACTCAAACTCATACATATGTCGCGCCGAGTCCAAGTGCCTGCCGCGACCATATTGCCAGATTAAAATCTAAAACAATTAAACGAATGATAAATACTTTTTCTGCTTTTCCGACTCCTTTTCTTTATGCTGTGGAAAATTAAATTTGCTAGCGAAAACGGCAAATGAAGTCGACAAACAGACAAAGAGCGGCATCTGTAAGTGCAGCTAATGGAGCTTGCTTCTAATACCCTGTAGCTATTGATGGGCACAAAGAGGGTATAATGTTTCGAGTAAATGGATGTAGCTGGTGGCAGAAAGCGTTAAGCATGTATATTCCGTGTCTGTTCAACCAGCTGAAGCGAGCTGTGACTTTTCTGACTGTCGGTCGATCTCTCTGCCGGTTTATACCTTTCTCTCTCTCTCTCGCTCTCTCACTATCTCTCTTTTAGGCATATGTTCTATACTAGTCCACTCTTAAGTGTTTTTAATTAATTTTTATAGCTTTTTACTTTGTTTATAATCAAAAATTACATAACAACAATAATAATTGTTTGGAATTTGAGCCGTCGACTTCCTGTTCGTTCGTCCGACGCCCAGAAACCTAACACTACGCAATCCTTAAACAGCTGAGTGGCAAAGCACAATCTTTTCTTTTGTTAATATCCCTCTCTCCATTTCCTTCTATATATATCGATAAATATCGATTAAGAATCAAATAATCGAATGCTTCTAAAACGCAGAGCCATCAAATGTGGCATATAAATCAACATATAGTATAGACAGCGCTGCTTACAGGGTATCTTCCAGCTGGGCGCACTTTGACTAGAGCACATTTCCTGCTTTTTTTGGGCAACCCTAAGTGGCTGACGCCATAAAAGCAATGTTCATAATTTTCTATGAACTATTTCTAAATTTAAATCAAACGATTAGCAGCAATGAGCAGAGCATTTAAATTCGTCGGCACTCGGATGCGGCCTCTTTCAAGGCCAATGATTAATGTGTGTGTGTGTGTGCGTGTGTGTGCACATCTATATATGTATATGCACTTGTGTATATATAATTTTAGACATGTTCGATGCATTTGCATTTTGATTTCTAAGTAGGCGACTGGGAAAGTTGAAAATAAATTGCGCCGCTTTTAAGTGCATTTAATTAACAATTTTCCATAAAGGCACCAAACGCAACTAAAGTGCAGGCCTCGTTAAGATTTATGGGCGAATGCAAGTGCCACAGCCGCTGCAACTGCAACTGCAACTGCCACAGCAATAGCTGCAACTGCAACTGCAGCAGCTTCGGCTTCGGCTTTGGCTTTGACTGCAAATTGATGAGCATAATTAAATGGCTGGCGACGGCCACATTGGCGGCGGCGCATTGCATGCATTGTTGTAATTTATGCTCCATATTGCACCCGTATCCCCCACCCTACCCCACTCCACCCCACTCCCCTCCCTCCCCTCCCCTTGGAGCTGCTGAGACTTGCGTCTGCCCCGTCGTTTTGAGTAAACAACAATTTCACTTATTTTCATGCCGTCTGCCCGTTTGCATTGTTATTTTTACGCTCGACTCAATATAAATTTTCACTGGGCACTCTTCGGGTTTTTCCTATGTTGTTGTTCTTGTTGTTGTTGTTGTGCTGATTGCCACATGCCACGCCAGGCAAATGCAATGCAAATATGCGCAACAACAAAAAGAACAACAACCAGAAAGAAAGAAAGAGCTTTCAACCCCCTCCTAATCAGCGAAACGCCCGCCTGGCCAGCCAACAAAAAATAGTTTAGTTGGGTTTGGCTTTCGTCTAGCCATCAAAGTCACAACAACAACAACAACGTGCAACATGCAGCGACAACCGGCAACATCATCGTTATCATCAGCTCGTCATGTGCTGAGCCGCGTCCGTTGAGCTGTTTGAGTTTGTGTTTCATATGGCTTCCCACGAAGGATTTGTGTGCATTAGAGAAATAGAGAAACGTTGGGCAAAATTGGAAAAAATAAATTCGAGTTGCCGAAGTTTGAATACCCTGTGAATACGCCTGAATGTGTCAAACAATCATTCCTATATGATATGGTAGTAAGATGCAGATGGA